TGTGTGTGTGTGTGTGTGTGTGTGTGTGTGTGTGTGTAGACGTTACCCTCAGTGCTCTGAATGACTCAGATGTCAACAGTGATCTTGTTGACATTGAGGGACTGGGTGAGGCGTCCAACTCCAAAAAACTCAACAACTTTGATCAAGGTGAAGTTTGCGGCTCAGACACACTAATTGTATTTACTTCCATCAAAACACATGGGATATAGAAAGGTGGTCAGGTGCTGAAAGTTTCATCAGTGTATAATCTTGGGGATTTGTGCGATGAGATGATTTCTGATTTCTTATTTGTTATTGTTATGAATGTGGACAGCTATGTGTGAAGGAATGTGTGTATGCATGGATATTTTAGGTGTGGCACATCAAACTTCATTGTAATATTTTTTGCAATAACTATAACGCATTCTTATTATAGCTGCTCAGCAACATTCAGTATTTCACTTTGCCTTCTTTTTGTCAATTAAAGAAGGGCCTGGTACAAAACACATACAAATGTTGTCAGAGGTTTAGATTTAAGTAAAGCGTTTGTATCTGTACAGAAACACAGGTATTATACCTGTGTTTCTATTGTCACTAGAATTGAAAAATGTGAAAGCATACTCTGCCCAGCCCAGTAGGACTGTGTGTCAGGGGCCAATTTTCCATTTGACCATGATGTTGGACAAATGTGTTGCGCCGTTGAATGACAACATGTTAAGTTTAAAACCTCTGTGTGTGTGTGGAGTTACTGTCATTATGGATTCTCAATTCATTCTGGCGCATGCATCGTTTTTAACTTAATCTTTCTATGAGTTCCAAGATGCAGTGGCACTGTGACACTCAAAATTCTGGACACAGTGTATTTAATTTTCAGGCTCTATGCATGCTAATATTTGCATTAATAACATACATTATAATATTGAATGCATCACAACCTGAAACCAGCAGAGCTTAACAACACACCACTGACGCACACTGTTGTATCATCATTTACACACACACACACACACACACACACACACACACACACACACACACACACACACACACTGTAGTTTATTTTGACTTACTCCACCCACTCCGGAGTGTGGATTAATCTACCACTGATAGTAGTCATTGGAAAAGGCACCATTTAACTATTTCCTCCTGCTTGAGTAACATTTGTCAGAAACTGCAGTGGATAACTGTTGAATGAAAGTGGTCTTGTTAAAAGAATTCAGTTTTTTGTAGAAACCAGGGACTGAGCACTACAGGCAGGATAGGGAAGTCAGAAATGCACTGAAAATTAGTTTTGTTTTTCATAGTTTTGTTGACTGTGTAAAAGCACAAAATAACTCCAGTCGCTCCTTTCATTGACCTGCTCATGTTTTTTGTCTTCATAGATAACCTCAACCTGGACTCCAGCCTCATCATGAATCCAAGTGATCTTCCTCTGCTCTCCCGTTGACCTCTTACTTCCTCTGACTTTCATGCGTTGATAAACAAAACTATGAAAATAAGTTGTAAAAAAATGGCTGATCCATTGTGCCGATGATGCGGACCACAAACTTTAGAGTACATATAGCATAGTTATGTTGGATTTTTAGATTCTGTGATATCAAGAGAATGCAGCAGAGAAACCCCAGCTTAATTGACAAAGTAAAACACTTGTTTAGTATTTCATGTTCAAGCCAGTTTTAACACATTTTGAAAGTGACTAGTAAGATATTACCATAAGAGGAGTTAGACTTGTAGTCAAGATTTAGCACAACAAAAACATTTTGGAGGAATGTATGGTTTATTTTAGGGAGTTGTCTTCCTTCATCATAACATGAAAGTGTTAGTAGTGAGAAGGACAGTGTCAGATCATCCACGATGTTATTTTTATTCCAGCCAGGTGAAGTTGCTAATCCTTTTTGAGGCCTTGTACCTGAAGAAAACATCGTCATCATCATCTAGATAAAACATGTTGTTGTGGAGAGTGAACATTTTGTTAGACTGAGATATTAAAGTAGTGGAAAGTCACTGATATATAAGTGTGGAAGCTAGTTTTCTGTAGCATGTATTTAAATGTATTTTGTAAATACAGAACAACAAAATGTCGACTTAGTAGCTTTTTGCAGAACTTTACTTCTTCTTTGTCTGCACATTCCTCCTAAGAACGTGACTATTCGAAACCAGTGGTGACACTTTATTTTATCTGACATGCCAAATAATTTCAGGTAAATTGTCTGTGCTTGGCTCATTTTACCACAGACTCAACCTAAAACTCCGCACTGAAACTTGGGACTTACTCCTACATTTGCAGACTGTCCTGCTAAAACTTGAACAAACATGAGACGGTGTAACAGTTCAGAATCATCCTGTTGTAACCGACTATGAATGTGTGTCTTACCTACAGCTGTATCCAAACATAATAACGTGAAACTCGCCATTCTTGTTTACCGGAGAGTTATGTGATTTGTACCAGACCTTCTTGTTTCAGAGTATAGTAAGCCAATCAGAGGAAGGGCTCATAAATAATTGATGAGGCAGGCGAAAACAGTCTGTTCTGTCTGGAGTGCCAGAGAGAGGACATGGAAATACACATTGCAGCAGTTTTTTTGACTTTAAACCACTGATATATTGGGGGTTCCAATACCTCAAATGAAATCCCAGAAAGGTGTAAAAAAAAATGCATAGTTTTAAATGACTGTAAATTAATTCATTTAAAATTATGCATTTTTTTCTGTTCAAAAATAATACATAACTTTCTATTAATTCTTACCTCTATTACATTTGTAATACCTAAACTTCCATCTCCTACGCACACACACACACACAAACTTAGCATTCGGATTACCTTGTGTGTTCCAGGCACAGCTGAATCACCGTAAAAACAGTGTGGGTACAAACGATCTTTTAGAAGCATAATTTTCTCAATTTTTCTAGGTTTTATTAGGGCCCGAGCACCAAGGAACATGTTATGGCCCAAGTTGTTGTTTTTTTAATTTTGTACATACACTTGAAAACCCAAAAAACTTGGTAAACTTGGAAACAGGAAGATTATGTAACTTAACTGTACATGCTCAAATCTGAATGTTCATTTATTCCACGACCCATAGAGTCAAACCCCAGATGTGACATCCCACACATACGCCAAGATATATCAAAAAGTTGAGGCTTCAAGAGGCCATAAAGTTAAAGTCTTTAAGCAATAATCGTAAACCTAAAGTTGCCATTTTAGAAGAATAAACTTTCACCTCTGCTGTCCATTACATGCTCACTAATCACTAATCATTTTTATACAAATTCTTTGTCTTGAAGGACTCCATTCGAGATGAGAGTCAGGAAGTTGTATATATTGTCCAGTTGTAGACTTGATTAAATCTACAATGGCCATACCCTTTCATGACGCCATCTAGTGAACATTGTTAAAAAGTACACCAGAGTTTTGCCTCTATGCTTTACAATCTTTGACTGATTCAGTCCATTCTCATGGTTAGGTCAAGGTTAGACTGAGGTTCCTGACTAATTGAAATGACCAGAAGTAAGTATGTGGCAGCCATGATATAAACATTTTCAGTCAAGGTAATAGGAGGTAATTTTTTGAGTATTCAACTGAAGTCTTTGCTTAGGTAAGTATGTGGTAGTATCCCTGGGGCACTCCTTTCTGTGGTTGGCCTCTCCACAAGTGGTCTTAAAGGTCCAGTGTGTAAGATTTAGGTGAAAGGGAACTAGTGGCAGAAATGTAATGTAGAATAATCATGATGTTTTCAGTAGTTCATTTCATCTAAATAGTATAAATTGTAGTTTTCTTTTATATTTAAATACTTAGCATTTACAATGAGGGGACCCTCTCTACGTAGGCCGCCATGTTTTCTTTACATTAGTCCAGACTGGACAAACTTTTTATGACAACTGAAGCCACCACAGCTTCTTTTTCATGTTTGGAAGGGGAGGGTGAGATGAGGGGTGTTCAGCTGCAACATGAAATTTCAACACTAGATATCACTAAATTCTACACACTGTATCTCCCTTTAAATAAGCCAGAACATACTAAGCAGGGTTGCCCCCGTTAGAAGTCTACTTAAACAAAATGAATGGAAGTGAGCTTAATAACAATACTAGCACTACAATTACTACAACCACTACAACAATAATGATAATAACAATTTAAATAGCTGCAGCCACAATTGATGTGAGCTGCATGAGTGGGCTAGGAAAATTAAACTTGGCGCAATAAATGGATTTATGACTCTTTAAATCCAATTATTTATCCAATTAATTACTCTATATATAATGTTTGTACATACGTCCCCATTTAAATGGGACAATGTGTCCTTTTGAGCATTACTTTTGAGTGATATTGTGATTATAAAAATAATATCATATATAAAGAACACATAGACGTAAAAATGTAAAGCTAGGTTTTTACCTGTCTTTGACTGCCTGACCTCATTGTGGTGCTTACTGAACTGCTTGTATGCTGGTCCTGTCCCATGACGTCCTAGATCACCTAAAGGCCATTAGGACATTGAATATTTAGAGGTCACAGTTAGTATGAGATAATTGACATTTAGCTTCTTTAAATCCCAGCCCATAAATCTCATCCCAAAAACTGGGACTATGTCCAGGGCCAAACAGGGTCAACATTTATTAAACAGGATAGACAGGATATTGGATAAACTGCAAAAAGAAAAAATATCTAGATAGGCTACATTCTTCTTTCATGTCCATGTGCCAGAGCCAGATGTTTGGCATCCTTTCTTGGCTGCCAGTTCATTAAAGTTTGGGGTTAGGTTATTTGCTGTGGAAACCCTCAAGATGGAGTGAAGATGTGCATCAGTGATACGACTCCTGTGTGGGGTTTTTTCATCTTCATCACAGGGAAAAGTGTGGGGGAACTTGACGTGGCACATATAGCAGCACACAGGCACTGGGATCTCTGGAACAATGGAAAAATAATTTAATATCATCAAGTACTCAGCGAGTGAGTGTAGAGGAGCACTTGCTCTGTGTGGGTCCACCTGGGCATTGTGTACCGGCGGGCCAGTTAAGATCGACATATGATATTTTATCTTTGGCTGGATATTGAGTTTGACATCTCTGCACAACAGTGTATTTAACATCAACAATACGTTAAAAAATTACTTTTAGAGACATTTGATAATTAGCACAATATTCAAAGTCGTACAATTAGTAAACATCCATTTATCCATTCTATTTGACAATCCAATTCAGGCACATATACTCCAGGCTGTCTTTCAATGTGACACCGAATAAGTCCCAGACAGGTCTAAACTTGATGAAATAACCGGTATGTAGACTCTGTCTGTTTAAAATTGGTATCACATGGCACCAAAGGGTAAACGATATGTTATCTAAAAATATTTGACATTAATGATGTTGTTGACAATAAACTAATGAATATTCAGCTATAAAACATTAGATAAAAGGCATTGCAGAGACCTATTCTTTTGCAAAAAAGTGAGCCTTCATGTATTGGTACTGTAAAGCCTCAGATGTTATTACTGTCTCTCTCTTTTCTATCAGCCAGCATTTATACCTGTCAGCTTCATCACATTATTGTTAACGGGTTGCTGACATTTAACCATTTTCGACATATGCATTTCAGCAAAACGTTTTTTTGGCATATCAAATTAATATCTCAAATAACTTGATTCATACAATAAGCCTTTATTCATATTGTTTAACATGACATTTTTAGCATGCTGTTAGCACCCATTATTAAAACAGGTGTTGAAATGACATGTGGTTGCAGTTTGTTATGCACAGGGGGAACTAAAGTGATGCTCTCTGGCGATCTTGTAGTGGTAAAAATATGTTTGACACATTTCATAAGGCTCCATTTTGATAGTTTTAACAGAAAATGTAATATGAATGTTAAGTAAGCTGTGAATCAATCTTGCTAAAATAATGAGCCCACAGCAATGTAGGAAAACTTTATACTTTCTTTATATACAATATTACCTTGTAGTCTTTGAAATGTATATATAGTTCGCAGTGCAAGGACTGCAAAAGACTACATTTACACTCAGAAGAACCTCATCCAAGTCTTGAAGAGTTGAACTACACGCAAGTAGCCCAAACATGTGCATGGCCAGCTTGAAGTGTTTTGGATTCAGTATAAATAAAAAACGTATTATCATCAGTAATTTCTGTTATAAATGTATTATCCCTTGTTCATAATACAATAACACATACTGTTTTTTGCATCTTCATGATGTAACTGAGATGAAGAATGGACAGGTCCATCCTGTCAGTGGGATGTCCAGTGACAATTCTACTAGCACAGTTCTTCTGCAATAGATCTTTCAGACTTGACTTGCAAAATGTTATTGCAAGCGATTGCAGAAGTACCAGGGAGCCATCACAGATGATCAACACAGGCCTTTTGTTTGATCTACTCCCATACACGACAAGCTTGCGGAAAGCGTGCATGAAGAAAACCTGTGTGAAGCTAAATTTCACATAAAGCAGAAAAACCTGAAGTTATTGACCACCAGGGAAACTGAGAGAAGATTAGGAAGAAGCAGAAGCCTCCTCAGTTTCATTTCAAGTCAATTTGAAGACAGAGAGACCAGGAACAGTTGCGCACCATAAGGTTTCAGCTCTGATTGGTTCTAATGAAAACAATAAGAGTGAAAAGATGATGTTAATGATAGCAACAACAATTCATATAATGTATAATGTTGACTCCTGCAGGTCTGGAGTCAGGCATACCTGCAGAGAGAGAGAGAGAGTAACCCTCATAGTGTGCAAAGGGATTAACAATTTTCTGCAGTTGTAGAGCAGAATGAACAGTTAGTAAACATGTAACAGCTGGTACCTGATGTTTGGAGAGAAAAGGCCTGAAAGCTCTGGAGGGACGTTACTATGGCTCTTTAGCAACATGTCATTCGTACATCTGTATATGAAACTCATAAAAAACATCACAATTCCAAATTTGGTCTGACTGTAAAAGAAAAATTGCACTGATTGTAAAAATAAATTACTAGCTTCAAAAGAGTTTAACAGTGGATCAGTTAGCAATGTCATTTCACAGCAAAGCCAGGGATTCTGTTTTGCATTTAAAGCCCCTCCAAGTAACTTCTTATTTCTGTTGATTTTGGTGCCTCTGTGGTCAAAAGCTGTTTCCCCTGTGTCCTGTCGTAAAACCTTTGGGCTAGCCATCATGTGCATTTGTTTTGGAAGGAGTGAAAAAAGACACACAGCTGTTTATAGGATGTGTAGTGATGAGATAATGTTTCTTTCTCGTTGAGAAATGAACATGATGTTTGGGCATGACCAGTTGGAGATCTTCATAACTAAATGATCGTGCAGATCTCCGAGGTAACGATGATCACAGTGTCTGGCTGAGTCGTCAGCTGTTTGTTGATGATGTCATGCAGCTTTTCAAGTGCTACCTGAGCCTTAGCTTGTGGGGGAATATATATTGCCATAATTATTATTATTTTGGATTTTGGGAATCCCTTGGAAGACAGAATGGTCTGTACCTTACGGTGAGGAGCTCTAGGTCTGGGCGGCAGTGCTTGTAAATAATATCTGCAGCTGTTGTTCAAGTAAAGACACACCCTTCCTAAAGTCCCTCGTTCAGTCCACTTTGTAAATGGAGCAGCTGGCGTATTTCTCATTCTGATCACATTCGTCTTGTTTGTAAGAGACCTGGAGTTGGCGGTGAACAGACTCGGGAGCGCTGGTCTTTACGGGTTAGCCTTTAGCCTGGCTTGCTTCCCCTTCTTCCTTTTCCTCTCCCCCGCTGCCTGCGTCATTTCTCTGGTGAGGTGAACCATGTGCCAGCAGAGAGGTAAACATGCTTTTCTAGCCTGACTACCACAAATCGGTGAATAGATTATAGAAAAGCCAATTTTCTCCCTAAAGAGGAAGCAATATTAAAATGAGACCATTTCATAACCAGTTAAAAACTACTTGTAGGGGCTTTAACATAGGATATGCCGGTTACCTCTATTTACTCTTGTTCAAAGCTGTCAAAATCAGATGCATTAGAGACCTGGTATTTGTCATTTTATGAAAAAACATTCAGAAATGTTCACCTCACATTGGCACACCAAAGCCGTGGATATATCTAGTCAGGAAAGTATCTAAGAGCCACCCTGATGATGATATTTTTGAGATGCCTACGATTCAGAAAATCATCATGTCTAGTTTTCTCTTTTTGTACATGGTATTCAAAACACTTAATCGTCAAATTTCCACTTGTCCGACACTTCAATTTAAGTCAAACAAGATTTATTTGAGTGTATTATTATTACACATCATATTTACAAGAACTATATTTGCAGAAGTTATACCACTGTAAGCTTATTAATAATCTTTGAGATAAAATAAAACATGAAAAAGTGACAGCATTAAATACAACAAAAAGGCAATAATGTAACTTGTAAAATGAACAAACCATGTTGTTGCTTGTGCAGACTGATAACAAATCAAAATTAATAAATGAGTGCAGAAACAAATGCAGATGCTTCCACTCAGGGCATCATGACTAAATGCTATGGCCTTTGCAGTCAAGAACTCAAACTAACTAAACAACCAGGGGAGATATGGATGTGTTACAGCACTCTCTACCACCAAAACATCAAATGTGGGAACATCTTTTGGAGGAATGGTTTTCCATCCCTCCAGTAGAGTTGACTTGAGCTGCTTTCAGATATGTACTGAACTCCTCAGATCGTCCATATTTTCTCAGGAGGAGGTGCAAGTGTGAATGCAAAAAAATAGAGTGAGAGGCTATGGATTATCTGCTGACTTTAAGCCCCTGGACTGCTAGTATAAGGTCCATAGAAAGGAAAGAGAATTTGATGTGAGAACACAGCAGGGGATGCACATGACAGATGCAAAAAGAAAAAAATGTGTGATGTAAAAAAAAATCATGTGATCTATGCAGCTCAGTTAATACATCACTTCCTGTCTTGGTCTGCTGCACCCGGCTGCTCCACCTCATGCCTGAGTGATGCAGAGGATTTGTTGCTGTTGTGACCAGGGGCCTCATTTATAACTGCTGCGTATGCACAAAACCTGGCCTGAAATGTGTGTACAACATTAGGATTTATAAAAACAAACTTGACGGGAGAATTTGTGCATTTCCACACAAACTCTAACCCATGCTTACGAACATTTTGGAGATGCGAACGTGGCGGTGCAGACGTGAGGTGGTGAACTGAAGCAGATTATTGATCCACTTCATCATTTACATTAAAACCAACAGCTTTAGTTGTGCTCACACAACATAACAGTTCCATAACAACCTTCAATCGGAAAAAATATAAAACAATTTACAGCAAATTACATTCAGATTAAACAGCAGAGCTGCAGAGCCAAGTCATTAATAGTTTTAATAATATCTTCTAAAACTGTGCGCACACAAGAACGCACTGGAGATAATAAAGAAAAACTATTCATTTTTAAACTTCCATTTCCAAATAATATCCCAGATCCACTGATGTGTGAAGTGATCAGTACGATTCCTCTAAATATATAAATACTGCGGTGCATGATGCTGCATGATGGATGCACACGAATGGAAGGATGATGAGGAAACGAGGGTTCAGCAGTAGTAGAGTATTAGAGTAGTATAAGATCGACCGACGGAACCGAATCATCCCAGCACAGACACAAGCATATAATAATAATTTTGTTAAATTGTATATATTGGGGACATCACAGCTGTCTCTGAATTTAATAGTCCTGCAATTTTGGATAATTAAAATACGAACAGGCAATATAATCAGTTCTCTTAAAGTCTGAGAGTGTGAAGCGATTATTGCTTTGCTTCCTCTGGTTTTGCTTCCTCTTCTCGTCACTTGATGCCGTAACTGACAGGTGAAAACCCATTGGTCAGCAAGAGAACTTAATATTCATGAGGTGCTTTGCACTAACCATTTATGGTTGAATGTGAGCGTGTAGAGGGCGGGATATGAGGCAGCTCCACCTACGAACATTTCCAGCTGTGATTTATAAAGTGAACACTGTGTTCAGGTGTGCGTGCGCATGGATTTATAAATCAAATGTTCTTTGCGTACACAATTTTCGGCTTTTGTGCATACTTACACATTTAGTATGAATCCCTCGCACTGTTTTATAAATGAGGCCCCAGGTCTGTGCAGAGAACCTTTTGGATATAAGTGCTACCATATTGGACTGATGACGTCACTTGGAGCCAGAGTCCAGAATCGAGTTCCACTGATACATGTGCTCACTTCAACATTTAAAGGTACAGTGTGTAGAATTTTGTGATATCTAGTGTTGAAATTGCATGTTGCAGCTGAACACCCCTGATCTCACCCTCTCCTTCCAAACATGAAAAAGAACCTTTGGCAGCGTCAGTTGTCATAAAAACTCAAAAGGTGTTTAGTTTGTCCAGTCTGGACTAATGTAAAAAAAATGGCAGCCTCTGTAGAGAGTGTCCCCTCGATGTAAATATAAAGTATTTGAATATAAAGGGCCTTTTCTGGCGTAAAGAAAACTACAATTCATACAAATTAGATGAAACGAACTCGTGAAAACATCATGAGAATTATTCTACATACATTTTCTGCCAATAGTTCCCTTTCACCTAAATCTTACACACTGGACCTTTAAACTAAAATGACAGAAACTACCTGAAAAATCTACATTTTCTGCCTCCACTTTTGGCAGCTTTCGTTTTTTTCCATCTTTATCTAGTCTATTGTTTACACTTTTCAATGATCTACACAGCACATCTGGACAGCTGTCACTGAACTAAGCCTGGTGGTGAACTGACAGTAAGTACCTCCGAATTGTGGGGCTGACAGCATTATCTGTTTCTACACTTGTTAAAAGCAAAAGATGGGTGGGAGGCTCTAGTGCTTTTTTAAGGCACCTTTGACTGAGCTAGGCTGATTACTTTTGTACTTATGTAGTGAAATACATTTTCAAATTAGTAATCAATTACAGTTTCCAGTAACTTGCCCAACATTGAAGTCCTTTTCCCAACCATCACAACAACTTTGTAAAACAACCAGGCTGACATGCACCAACGCACTCACTTTGCAACAGTTGGCGAGTAGTGAAAAGGGCTGTAAGTATTCAGTTTAATTAAATTCAATTTTATTCATATAGCGCCAAATTATAATATAGATTATCTCAAGGCACTGTACATCGAAGGTCAAGATCTTAAAATCTATATGCAAATGTTGTACTTTTCTCTCAAGCTCTATTTTGTCATCCCTGACTGGAATACTATCAGCACGTGCATGATTGCCTTCTTAGAGAGACTAATGTGCGTCAATATTCCTATATAAACATTAGTTGCATCTTTCTCTTCTCTGAGACAACTGGCTTGCCATTTGGATGTGTGGTTGGATGAGAATAAAACAGTCAGTGATCACAGACGTTAGCAGAGTAGCATTTTAAATCTGTAACATTACAAATACCATATAGGCTACAATGCACAACAAAATAAAGAAGTTTACATAATTAGGTCACATTGTAATCATGCTGTATATACTAACTAAGCTTCAAAGAATGACTTGCATTGAGCCACAAGCCACAGCAAATAAAAGGTATATTCATTGTCTTGCTTGGGTCATCTTTAATCACTGCTTTTGCTACAGTGCTCATATTATATATTAAATGATATTGTGTTTTCTAGTAAAAGACAACCTGCAGTGTATCAAAAATTTATTATTTTATTTCTCAAGAAAACTTTCATTCAACTATATATGTGACTTTTGCCCTGTTTACGTATGACGGACTGTTGAATGCTTTATTCTCTTTATTGTCCATTACGTCTTCCATCTCTCTATCCTCTGCATTCTCTCCTTTTCTCATCATCTTCAGTGGTAACAGAAGCCCGCCATGTTGCTGGGCATTGCTGTTTACTGTCTGGCAGCAGTGAGCTCCCCCATTGTCTTTAGTTAGGAAGTAAAGGAGGGCGTTAAGCCATGCATTGAATGAAGCCAAAGGCCTTGTAATCTTATAGCACATGGAGACCATGGTCATGGTGTGACAGGGCACTTTCTTTGTCACTTTCAACAGGAGGAAAATTGTTTTGGTGACGTGAAAGGGGAGGAAACAAAGAGCAAAGAGGAGAGTGATGGTTATAATGGTCTTGATAGATTTTCGTCTGCGATTGGCATATGGGGAGTGGGCACCAAGAAAAATCGAAACCCCTCCATCTCTTCCCACTGTCCTTGACAATTCATTGCTTCCTCTTCTTTCTCTTCCAACTATTGCCAAGTTCGTTCTCCCTCTTCTCTCCACTCTCTCATGTCCTCCCTCTCTCTGGCCTCTGTGGGATGAGGGTCGTGAATGCAGAGTTCTGAATATGGTTAGAACAACATGAGAGTAACACCAAGCAATTATGGAAAAAGGCAGAAAAAAGCCCAGCAAGTGGAGTATGATGCCATAGGGTATGTAATCAGGGAACTCCTTATCTATGGCATCATCCCAACAGTTCTGGTATTCTTCAGTGACACTTCCCAAGTTGTCATGGCTTGCATTACCATTAATAGATAATATCTCATGGTTTTGCTCCTCAGTAATGCCTGCATTGGTGCCAGACCCCCCCAATCTTGTCACATGACCAGTCTGAGCAAACCGGAAGATAGGGCAGGTCAAAGCAAAAACTACAATCCAGACCAGAACACAAGTGTACTTGACAGCCTTCTTAGTCTCCAGTGTGATCACCTTCATTGGGTGGCAGATACCAAGGTACCTGTGGACAGAGATGCAAGTGAGGAAGAAGATGGAGCAGTAGAGGTTAAAATAGAAGAGAAAACGGACAAGGCGGCACATGAAGTCCCCAAAGATCCAACGGTCACGCATGATGTAACTTGCCACAAGGAATGGCAGTGACAGGCCGTACATGAAGTCTGTAGAGGCTAGGTTGACCATGTAGATTAGAGAGGCATTCCAGCGCTTGGTCTGGCGGAATGAACGGTAGAGGACAACAGAGTTAAGGGAAATGCTGAATATGAACGTGAAAGAGTAACAGATGGGGAGGAAAATGTACTTGTAGGACTCATCTATGCTGCAAGATGGAGAAGGAGGGGCGGTGGAGGGAGAAGAAGAGGGTGAGGAGGAACTCAGAATGCCATGGAGTACTGAGTCACTAATGTTGGGAGGAACACCACCTCTGGATGACATTCTGATGAATAAATTGATTTTCATGTGAGGAATAATTTGAATAAGGCTGTGGCTTGTATTTTTGGTGTTTCGTCAGACTTCTTTTCTTTCATCCTTGTACTCTGTACCGTTTATTGTCAGGTTTGTGTGATCCTTTACTGTGTAGATTTTCTGGTGATGTCAGATCCATGAGTGGGTGTTTACCTGGAGATAAAAAGACAAGTTAGTTATTTGCTTACAGTGATTCAAGGGTCTCAGTTAATTTGATGAACTAAATTTCACCTCTGTAATGCAATCACTAGTATTGTACTGTTTCTTTGCACAAAATAACCATTAGACGCTTTTCATCAATTTGATAATTGTAATTCTGATTTTGTTGGTTCACATAGCTGGTTCAAACCAAGTTTTTGCTGATGGTTTCAAGTCAGAGGCCTGTCCATAACTGGTTCTAGGATTCATTATTTTTTTAATTGCCAATTTTTTGGTTGATGTTTGATGTGCTTCCATAGTGTCCCGCTATTCATCTGCTCAAAGATCGCATCGCCACCTTAGTCGAATAGTCACTCGAGTATTAATGATTCCTCAAGAATCAATATTATGTCCCCTGTTATTTACACTATTACACTATTAATAGATTATATTTATAGGAACTCCAGTGTCATTTTTTTTTTCCAATTATCTCTTTATTATTTGCAACATTTAATAATTTAACATTTAAATGTATACAACATTATGTATATATTAAGTAAAATAAATGAATGTGTACAACATTATGTATATAATAAGTAAAATAAATGAATAAAAAAAAAACATAAAGTAAGTAAACAAACAAATACATAAATAACTAGGGCTGCGAAGCAGCACTGTGTGGGCCTATGCACTTGCAAACTCGGGACATAATGCGGCTGCGGGGGATGGTGGTTGGGACCGGGCAAAACAGCTCTGAGTTGCGTGCGTTTTGCACAATGCAGGAAAGATAAGTGCTTCATTTCCTGAGTCCATCACGCAAAGCCAAACCCCACCCACGCATTATGGTCCACGGAATCAAATGCAGACCACATGGTAAAAAATAAGTGTAAATAGAATTAAATTTGTATAAGGAGGTTAACTTCCTGTTGCCAGTTGGTAGCACTATCACTATCCCTACATAGAGACTAATAGATCTGTTCAGGCCTGGACTCTGATCATGAGACAGAATTTTGGTGCTTATTGGACAATGCACAGTTGGAGTTATGAAAACTTTGTCTCCTTTGGAGAAGGCTCAACCTTTGCTGCACCTTAATGTTTACATGGTTTTAAGGATATGTCACAATTCTGACAATGGTCCTATAACTTGTCTGAGCTTTATTTTATAAAGCAGCCAGGAGCAGAGCATCTAGTATAAAACATGTCACTTTCTGTGTCAATATTGACATATGGATCTGTTCAGGGCAGGAATGTGATCGTGTGAATGGGTTTTGAGGCTGATTGGACAATGCACAGAGGATTATAATAAATCCCTTTTTTGGTAAATCATCAAAATTTGACGCCATGCCACCATGTGATGTACACTAAAACATTGAGCTAGTTTTAATCTCCATGTTGTTGAGATGACACTCATTGAATTTAAAGTTGGTCTAATGAAAGCTTTAAGAGGAGTTCGTTCAAATACAACTCGTGTAAATGGTCAAAAACGTCAATTTAATTAAAAAGGCTGACTTCCTGTTTGGTCTAGCATATCGATCCAAGATACTTTTTTGTTCGGAAATAAATGGTACATGTCCCTACTGATTTTTGTACATGTCAGTCAATAGTGGTGCTAGGGCTGCACTTTAGGGCTCGGACCCTCAAAATGAAAAACTCAAAAGATCAGCTATAGTCACAGAGCATATGTTTCCTTTTCCTACAGTGGAATCAAATCAAGTACACAATATACACGCAAGTTCAGTGGGCTAGATCGTGGTCAGAGGCCCATAAAAGGTTCTGATGTTCTCAGAAATAGGTCCAATTTATTTCTTAAAATATAAGTGCGCTGTTCAAGACATTTGTTAAACAAAATTTGTTTAAACAGACTGAAACTTGGCAGTCTTTGGTGGTTCCAGTTCAACAAGATACATTTCTTTGCCACATAAGATATTATACCAGTCCTTTTCACCAGTGTCCATTTTTATGCTGATGATACCATCCTGTTAGCTCTCAACACTATTACAACCAAAAGCTTATCCAGGTGACAGTTTGCTTTTATTGACCATCATAACCAGAGGCCAGAGCTTTGATGTTTCAGCTCTACCCCATGCTCTAAATTAAATTTCTATCAATTGGATTTCCACTGAGGCAAATCTGAATGCCCACACTAAAAACCTGATTAAAATTTAGAATTTCTCTTAACAAAATATTACAGAACCAAAAAGATCTACACTAGATTGTGTTGTTGTTACAGTAGAGTAAACTATATTCTAATATGCTAGGTTTGTTTTTACTCATATTGTGATGGGAGAGTGCATATTATCTCAACTTTATCATCTCTCTCCATTTGTGATTGTTTATTTTATTATGGATGTTAACATTTTAGTTTTAGCAGTATTAGTAAAAAGAAATAAACAAATTGAACTACAAATAATTGATTTCCCTGAGAAACTTTCAATTTCTATCGGCTGATATTTCAATAGTTATTTAAAGGTGCAGTGATATGAGAGTTGAAATTGCATGTTGCAGCTGAACACCCCTTACCTCACCCTCCCCTTCCAAACATGAAAAAGAACCTGTAGCAGACTTCAGTTGTCATAAAAACTCAAAAGGTGTTTAGTTTGACCAGTCTGGACTAATGTAAAAAGCATGGCGGCCTCCGTAGAGAGGGTCCTCTCGATGTAAATATAAAGTATTTAAATATAAAGGGCCGTTTCTGGGGTAAAGAAAACTACAATTCATACAATTTAGATGAAACGAACTAGTGAAAACATCATGAGGATTATTGTACATTCAATTTCAGCCAAATTTAATATAGATCCCTATCACCTAAATCTTACACACTGGACCTTTAAGGGTCGATAATTAATTGGCAATGGTTTTGGAATTTGTTTCATTGTTAAGGACTAATTGTTCTGTACAGTTTACGAAACAGATTTTGTATTAGCTGTACTTCTATAAATTTGTACAAAACAAGTGCAATTTTACAGAATAAAATTTGGGCAGTATTTGAGAGGTGTATCTGAGGAGGATTCAGATTCTGCAAAGGCATTGATGTGGACTTACTCTACTGTTTTACCACAACTGCAGACAGAACTAGGCAGCTATGAAAGAGTCGTGTATCAGAAACCAACCGTCATTTGTACATTCATTACATTCTTCTTAAGAATAGCTATACTATATATACCTCATAAACACCAATTTAGTTTTCAAAAACACAATGCATGTTAACATTATGAGCACCTTAGGATCTAAATGTTAGTATCTCAAAGCACCAGTCATGATGAGGTAAATCACCCACTGCCCCATCTTCCCCTAATTCTTTGAATGTTGACTAGGACCTTTGCACAATCTTTTTGACCTCCTATTGTATGCTGCTGATTCTGAGTGCTTGTTTGCTTTCCTGTGTACAAGGGTATGCTGCTGATTCAGTCTCTTCTCACTCCATTAGCTCAGCAATAAGTAACCAAACTTACCGCCGTGTCTCCATCACACTTTAACATTAGGTCTTAATCTAATGGCTGTAGACTGTCAGTACAATTCCAAAACCTACTCTTCTTCATGGGAGTTGTCCGATGAAGAAGAGTTATGCTGATTCAAGATTTTTCAGTTGAACAACTGAAAACAGTTTAACTGAAGTAACACTCAGTTGAAAGGCTGACCTGATCAGCTGTACTGCTTCATATTAGGATCAGCACACAGACAGGTGCAACAGTGTGTGTTCAGTGAGCCATCTGCAGGTTTTACCAGCACTTCCCTAGAGTTCAAGTAAATAAGGGTAATGTGTCAACCAGTAACATGACATATTAACAGTAAAACACAAATATAGCCACAAAAGGTGAACTCTTTGAAATTATCTGCATTTATGTATAAACAGATCTAATATCAACATCTAATTTACAATTATAAAGTTCTTATGACCATAAGGTTTATTATTTATTAATTAATTAATTATTCAGACATTCACATCATAGTTTGGAAAAAGTATTTGACTGACTCAAATTAGCTTTTACTTGTTTAGGAGGGAGCTAGCAAGCCTGCAATTTGGGGCTTTGCTTCCTCTGGGTCTGGACTGGTCATCATCTTTGATGATAAGATGGATTTTTACAAGCTTGTAAGTTTATCTGTCGGGATAATGTCAGGGAGACTGATCACCGGCTGAAGATCAGAAGAAGTTGATAAAGCAGTAGGACAATGATCCTGGAATCAAAGTAAATCTACTACAGAATAAATTCAAACAGGGTAAATCCACCTTGTGGAGTGGTCCAGTCAGATTCCAGACCTTAACCAACTGTGTAATGAGCTCAGAGCTGAGCAGCTCTGTAGGAAGAATGGTACAAAACTGTTCATGTACCTTGTGCTCTGGTGTGTAACTGATTCTACTGTTAATGGTTACTGAAGTGACTTCCCTACAATGTAGTAAACCATTTAATCATTTGCATTTGGCAGTAAAGTAAAAACTTAAAATGCCCCCCCTTACCTGCAGTATATTTGACAATCACATATTTTGTTGTGGAAACAAATTTATTAAAGCCCCTATTAGGAATTTTTTATTGTTATGAAAATAATGTTAATTTAATATTGCTAACTCTGTATTACTTACAACAGGAAAGGAGACAATCAGGCTGGGAAATCATATGTTTAGGTGAGGGAGAGGACAAAGAAGCAGGGGAAGCGAGTCGGGCCGCGCTAGGCTAGGCTAAAGGCTATCCCATACAGACCAGCACCCCCGAATGTTGACCTGTTGTTTGTAAGAGACCTGTTCCTTGCCAACTCCAGGTCTCTTACAAACAAGATGGATGACAAATACAATATATTTCTCTTATTGCTATGCATCCTGCTAACACCTGGGTGTTATGGTGTGGATTCATAATCCAGCCAACTATTAGCCCCTGTACATTGATTGACTTGGATGTTCCACATGCACTGTAAAACTCCACTCTGTTGTTGCAGCGGTGACGTTTATGGCATGCACATGCTTGCATGTAAAAACAGTTTAGAAATATGGTTACAT